CTCTCACACACACACTCTCTCTCACACACACACACACACACTCACGCACAACTTTCTCTCTCTCTCACACACACACTCACGCACAACTTTCTCTCTCTCACACACACACACACACACACACATCATTCAGCCCTGTGTAAACGTGCAGACAGACTGTAAAGTGATCATATTCATTCCACACACTGCCAGCTTCAATAACAGCAGATAATTCACTAGTTAACACACTCTAAAATAAAACAAAGCCCAAAACATGCCAAATGAAACCCAGGTTAGAAACCAAACCCAAAGCCTCTTCGTCTTAATAATCATAATAAAGCCATTACAGAGAATATGTTAATGTGGTCAAATGTAATTTATAGTGAATTACAGGTTTGTTTTGGACTGACTAAACACAAAACTACCACATAATCTGATCCAGAAACCCTAATATAGTAATAATAATAGCTAGCAAACAAACCAAAGACCCAATAATGACATATTTACACACAGCTGACCGGTTAAAAACGGTTCTGTCATTTTCCCTTAAGATATTAGGATTAAATTACTTTATTTTATATGGACGTGTTCGAAATGACTAGAAAATGTATTGACTTTCTCTGTACAAAAAAAAAAGCGGTACGCCGAGTCACTGTAAGAAAAACAGCCCTGAAATGACATTACCTGAAACGGGTTACTGAAGTCCGGGTCCGCGAAGGGGTTGCTATCAAAATCTGACATTTTGCCGGTTTAATTGGGCTTTATTGTTTAGACTATATTATCGGTATTCGGTAAGAAACGCACCAGCAGCTCAAGACCGATCCGCAAAATGGCAGAACCGGAGATGACGTCACGCGTCAGCGGCACGTCTCACACTAAAAAGTGTTCCAAACTCTTCAAGGTCTGTCTCTTTTCTATTGCGATTATTGATGTATACCCTCCTTATTATTATTTATTTATTTATTTTTCTTTCCCTTTTCTTTTTTGTTTTTTTTCTTCCAGAAAACGTGAACACCAAGTTTGTAACCAACAGTTTCCACAAATCCCTTCATTTGATTGGGATGTTCTCTTTTATTCTGGAGGGCAAGGGCAGTGACTGTACCATCGAGCGTATTTTGCAGTATTAAACACGTATTTATACCGATTTCATCAGGCTCCGAAAATTCTTCAAATAGAACACAAAGAATGGCCTTCTCAGCTGCCATAGTTAAAACTCTTGCGTCATCAGAACAGGGTGTTCAACGCACCGCCGTTTCCGTTTAAAAAACGTTTTGCACCGTTTTTGTCGGGGCTGAATGCAGCCCTGATGTCCATATCTATGGACTTTCAATATAATCAGCTAACCTAACTAGTTGTTTGTATTGTTGATGTTTTATTCTGTTTTAATATCCGGATGTTAGTGAAAAAAACAACAATAATAATAATGATAAACTTTTAGATAGCAATCTTCATATGTGATGGACATCGGTTATGATCCTCTTTGAAGGCATCTTGAGTAATACAGCTCCATGTTTAGCGACGAGACAGAATACGGAAGTCTGTTGTGCTCAACCCCCATTTGTATTTAAATTCGCATTTCCCATACATACAGGTGCATCTCAATAAATTAGAATGTCGTGGAAAAGTTCATTTATTTCATTGAGATGCACCTGTATATATATATATATATATATATATATATATAACTAAATACTGAATTAAATGTAATAGTACATAAATGTATTTCCCCACTTGATTATGTTGTTAATATATTTATGTATGAATATTTTGCACATGTGCAGTATACATTTATATTACTGTAGTTTTATTTGTTGTGTCTATATTACTAGGCAATGCTAAGGTGTGGCACAATGGTAAAAGACCAAAAAGGCTGTTAACTAAAAGATTGTGGGCTCAAACTCTGCTCTGGGCAATCTCAACAATTGGATATTGCTGGAATGTTGCATGTTTTGTAGATCAGTACTGCGTGCCAACATGTAGTTGCTATAAATCTGTCCTCTCATCTATAGGACTGAAGAAAGACATTCAAACAAAGCTTTTCGGGCAGCATATCGCTGCTCATGTCATCCTGAAAGCCGTCACGGGCTTCATAGAGAGTAAAAACCCAAAGAAACCACTGGTTCTGTCCCTCCACGGCTCGACCGGGACCGGGAAGAACTTCGTGAGCCAACTTATAGCAGAAAATATTTACAAGAACAAGATGAGGAGCAACTTCGTTCACCTGTTTACAGCGACAGCACACTTTCCTCACAAGGCTCACATTGACACGTACAAGGTAATGAGTAATACAGTATACAGTGAATGCACAATATGCAAATATGTGGAAATGACATGTATTTTGTTGCACCAAAACGAATACAATTACATTTTAATATATACATTTTTTGTGTCCCGTCACTGTCATATATATATATATATACACACACACACACACACACAACACATATTTTTGTTCAGATCCAGTTACCAGAGTGGATACGAGGGAATGTTTCCATCTGCCCGCGTTCACTGTTCATCTTTGATGAAATGGATAAAATGCATCCGGAGCTGATCGACAGTATTAAACCTTACCTGGACTTCTATGACAACCTGAACGGAGTGTCGTACAGACAGGCCATCTTCATCTTCCTCAGGTCAGTGGCATCGGCACAGAAAACTGTTGACCCATACATTTCAACCAAACAGCCTCTGTAAGCCAGTTGTTGTGTTTTTGTTTATAGCAATGCTGGGAGTACGATGATCAACGAGGTGGTTATGAAATTCTGGAGGGATGGTAGAGAACGAGAGGAGATCCAGCTGAAGGATCTAGAGACGGAACTTTCACAGTCTGTCTTTAACAACAAAACCAGTACGTCAAGTGTCTCTTGCTCTCACCTGCTAGTAAAAGTGTGCACCCTCGGGTAGAATAAACAAGCACTGGTGCCCCCCATGGACATTCGGGCTGTGTCATACAACTGTCGTGGTCTGCGTGTGGGCCAGAGTATTGGGGATAAAGCCCGCCGTATGGTTGTGGACAGCCTTTTGGAGAACTGTGACATTTTATGCTTGCAAGAGACATTTTTAGCAATGCAAGACTTGGATAAACTAAATACTTTTAATGATAATTTTCATGGTGCTGGTGAATCCACTACAGATCTTGGTATGGATTTAATTAAAGGTAGGATATCTGGGGGTGTAGCCATACTGTGGAAAAGAAACTTAGAATCACTGGTTAAGGTGGTTAGACTGGATGTTAATTGGTATATTGCAATACAGATTACTTATCGAGATAAGAAATGTATTATTCTAAATGTGTATACACCTTATGAATGCCATCATAATGAAGATGAGTACTAGCTTTTAAATTTTGCCAAGATAATAATCTCATTTTGTCAAGTGAAGTGTGTTTGCAGATATATTGTAGATAGCTATACCTATGTTAGTGAGGCTTGGAACACAACATCATGGTTGGACCACTGTATTAGTACAGCAGATGCACATTCCTCACTGAGGGGTTATGAGTATCTCATATGATACAGTAACAACTGATCACATTCCTGTCCCTATGGTGATAAATGTTGAGTATTTCGCAGCGATGTCTAACAATGAGAACAATACTAATGTTGCAAAAATGGATTGGTCAGCACTTACAAAGGAGGATCTTTTAGCCTATTATAAGTACAGATAAATGTCTGAGTAATATTCATTTACCTAAGGATGCAATAATGTGTAGCGATATTAACTGTAAAGATGTAAATCATCGGAGGGATATCTGCTCAATGTATAATGATATAGTTAATGCCCTGCACGGTTGTAGTAAGCCATTTTTTAAATCAAAGGGTATAATGAATAAGACTAGGCCTGGCTGGAGTAAATATGTAGCTGAATATCATGCTGAAGCCCGGGAAGCTTTTAAATTATGGGTTATGGCTGGTAGACCCAGGCAAGGGCCTGAGCTTGAGTATAAGAAGTCTACAAATGCAAGATATAAGTATGCTATTCGTTTTATCTGTAAAAATGAGCAGAGGGCTGATTCTATGGCTATGAAGCTGTTAAATCATAATATTACTGATTTTTAGAAAGTTAGAACTTTTAATAGTTGCAGAGTATCTCTTCCTTGTACTTTAGATGGAGTTTCTGGGGTAGATAATATTGCGGAGTTATGGAGACAACATTATTGTAGTCTTTTTAATTGCATCCAAAATAAATTGTATAATGTGGACGATATTCAAGTTAATGATCCAATAGTGATTATGTCCTAATAATCCTGATAAGAGTGTGGTTATGATTTGCGGAACTAAGGAGGAATAAAAGTATACATTTTCCAGTTTTTATGTTGTCTAATAAGAGTCTCACTGTGTGTGCGAAAGTAAAATACCTTGGACATTTTATCACTGAGCACATGACAGATGATGAGGATATTGATAGGCAACGCTGTATGATGTATATGCAGGCGAATATACTTTTACGTAAGCTTAGTTTCTGTTCAGATGAGGTGGCGTCATTGTTTAAAACGTACTGTACAATACTTTATACTGCTCATTTGTGGTTCAACTATAGAACATCTAGTTTACAGAAGCTCAAAGTAGCTTGTAATGATACAATGAGAATTTTACTAAGGAGGCCTAGATGGCATATTGCAAGTGAAATGTTTGTGAGTGCAAGAGTAATCACTTTTAGAGCTCCGTTACGAAATCTTATGTATAGATTTATCTGCCGGCTTAATGCTTCTAACAATGAAACTATTGTGGGTCTATCAAATATAAGGGTGAGCACTACACAGTATCAGTCAAAGCTGTGGAGACATTGGTATTGCTGTAGGCTATTTTGTAAATTGTTAGTGTGTTTGATAGATGTTATGGGTTGTATATGTGGTCCTGTTGTCTTTTAAATTTGGGCCTTGAGTCTGTAATAAAGTTTGATTCCGATTCTAGTAGAGCAGAGAGATTCACAACAGTTGGATTGTTAATTAATACAACAATAAGCCATACAACACTAAGTTGTAGTGATTTTACAGTTAAAAGTTGTAATTGGGTTCAATGTGCGCCTTAAGCATGTTATAAAATCACTAAACATTTAAAAGTGTAAAATTAGTAATTAAACACCAACAGTAGCAATGTGATTAAACACATTATAAATTAATAAGAATCACATTAAATATTTTTTCATTGTTATTCATTAAACGGTCTCTTTTTTGGGGGGCAGGCAGCATAACAGAGGTCATTATACGAATAAATGATTAGCACATTCGAATGACTGTAGTTTTAGGGGCCGTTCACGCATTGAAAACGCTGCCGCTTTCTACTTCTTTCCAAAATGTGGCATCTGCTGTTGCTAAGCAACCGTGACCTGCGCTCTCCATGACGACGTGGAAGTTTCAGCAAAGGAAAAATGGATTTCCAGCACAGAAAATCACTTGCAGTAGCTCTGCTGCTAAATTTACACTAAATTTATTTAAAAATGGCTATCCCTGTACAGCTATGATCAGCTTGGCTGAGCTTTTAAAGGGTTAGTTCACCCAAAAATGAAAATTCTGTCATTAATTACTCATCCTCATGTCGTTTCAAACCCGTAAGACCTTCGTTCATCTGATTCTTCGGAACACAAATTAAGCTGTTGGAAGTGGATCGGACCGAGCACCAAAACACACTTGTAGCCAATCACCAGTAAGGGGCGTGTCCAGTAGTGATGGGGAGGTGCCTGTGTTGAATAGCATGTTCAGAAATTTGGGGGCGGAGGCAAGATAGGGGTGTGAATATTTTGTGTAGGGGCGTGTTTGTTTTGGTGATTTCAAATATCAACAGCATTTCTCAGAAATTGCTTACTGCACCTTTAACTAATGTTAACAGATACAACTTTAAATTTTAAAAATTTATTAGTTGTAAACTTATTAACTAACATTAATAAATGATATAGAATTATTGTCATGTTAACTAATATAGTTAATGTTAACAACTGAAACCTTATTGTAAAGTGTTGCCAAAGTTTTATATATTGTTTATATATTATATCTTGATTTTATAGTGTAACCCTTTCAATGCTGTAACCCTTAAAACCAGACTGCCAGAGGGTTAAAGTAAATGCTTCCTGATGCCACCGGGGTGGCGATTGCGCTGATGGCTTGGGCCCGTCATCGATGCTTGCAGCTTTAATTACTTTTATAATTGCAAATTCTTCTCTCTTTCCACAGGTGGTTTCTGGCACACTAGTTTAATCGATAAAAAACTGGTGGATTTCTTCGTGCCGTTACTTCCTCTGGAGTACAAGCACGTCATTCAGTGCGGTTTGACTGAGATGGCCAGAGAGGGTCGTGTCCCAGATAAAAATGTGGTTAAAAAGATGGCTGATGACCTAATCTTCTTCCCTAAAGAGGAGCGTGTCTTCTCGGACCAGGGCTGCAAGCACATTGCTAACAAATTGTACTTCTATATTTAACACACAGAAAAAGCATTTCCAATCTGTCATTCTTCATCATTTAAATTAAAGATAATTTATCTTTATCTAACACACATGCACGGGCCTTATGTAGGCTTCCCTCACTCAACATTGGTTGACTTTTAATTAGTTGAACTAACAAACTGGGATTGTTTTTATCAAAGTATTATATTCCTTTGACAGAACTGAACCATCATATTTGCTCATAAGTTACCAGAATCATCAAATATATACGGAATACAATTAATGGAAGGAAGAAGAGTTACAGTCTATAGTTCAAGTGGCTGATTCATTCAGGAATGAATAACTCAATGACTTATTCAGACATTTACCGCTAACTGCTGACAGTTTCAGTTTCTTATTTAGAGGACAATTTCATTTATTTAAATTGTTTTGGTAGGTACCAGTGTATTTAACTGTGAACAAACAAAATACTGAGAGGTTTCTCAAATTTTTGTATATTACTTTACGTTAGGCTATTATAGACAACACTTGTGTAATACATTTTATGTTGAACCAAATAAAATATTTCTTTCTTTTTGTAATGTCTACTTGTTACTTTTCTCATTTAACACAATAGTGGCTTTTAAATGACACATGCAGGAGTAAACATATCAATGTAGGCAAGTGATGGTAATTGTTGGTTTCTGACAAACCATAAACAAATAGAAACAATTAGTATATACAAACAATAATCACATTATACATAATCAAATAAACAAGCAGAAGAAACTTACATAATCAGCAACACAACACAATTCTACACAGGTCGTGTCTGAATGAACATATCAATGTAGGCAAGTGATGGTAATTGTTGGTTTCTGACAAACCATAAACAAATAGAAACAATTAGTATATACAAACAATAATCACATTATACATAAATAAACAAGCAGAAGAAACTTACATAATCAGCAACACAACACAATTCTACACAGGCCATGTCTGAATAGAGATACTACTCCTCACATACCAACATGTGTTTTAATTAATAAGAGGCCACAGGTGTTCTTATCAGCACTCAATCAGCCAATCATATCACAGTAGAATTTGCTACATTTTAATCGGCTGACAGCCCTAGTTTTTATTAAACCATTTATCCAAAAAAAATCAATTTTGATTTATTTCTAATTTTAATATCTGAATTATTCCATAATATATGGTTTTGTGTGGGGAAACGTTGTGGTTGTAAACCAATTTCCAAGCTAACAGTGCTTTGTGATGAAATCGAGCCAACTTAAGCAAATTACCAGTGGAGTATTTACACTTCAGCACCTACCCTTTTAAAAAATATTAGGAATAAAATACCACATAGAATCTGTTCCAAGCAACCAGTTAGCCGTTGAATGTGTTGTTAGTATCATCAAAATCCAAAACTTCAAGACCCCCATCACTTCCTTTCTTTGCAAATGCTGGGATAGTCCATGGATCTCAACTATGTAATCTTATTAAAGAGCGGGGTATTTTAAATATGCCGCTACTTCAGATTGGAATCTCCTCCAAAATGAGATGAAGTTACAAAACTTGGTGTCTTATAATTATTTTAAGTTTTTATTATGTAATCTAGAGAGCAACTTAATGGTGTGCAATTGCTTTTAACCGGTTTTATGTTTTGTTTTGTTTTGTAATGTATGTTGTAACTATGCTGTTTTATTTGTATATGTAAACGTGGCTGCCTATCTTGGCCAGGACACTTCTGGAAAAGAGATTAATCTCAGTGAGTCTTTTCCTGGTTAAATAAAGGTAATATATATAAAACTTTTTTCTTCAGTTGATTTATTTTTCCAAAAATATTCTCAATATCATTGACTTCATTTTCATTTAAGCAAATAATTTCACATTTAGATGAATTAGGTTTGAGTCCAGAAGCATTAGAGAAAGACCAGTGTAACGTGCTCTTTATCCTGAGAATAAAGTAGTATCGTCAGCTAATTGTGAGATTCAAATCTTTCTGTTGAAGATATCAAGGCAACAAAACTATGCAAAATATCAACAGATATTAGGCTCAAAGGGCAACCCTGACATATTCCACGAAAAATAGGAAACCTTTAACTTCCAATAGCCATGTAAAGTGTTCTTCCCACGTTTGGTTTGTATATTCAGCTTAATTGGTTAGAAAAAGGAGCATATTGGTGAGTGACATCCACCACATATTGCAGAATCGATTGAGAACTCAATCAATTCTAGATGGACAGGTATTACTCCAGGTATATTCCTTTATATCTTTATTATTATTATTTTTTGTATCTAAAAACCATGGCTAAAGTAAGCATTATCACCCCACTGCGATTTCCAAATCTAACATCACTCTCGCAAGAATGAGTTTTTTTTTGTTACAGTATCAGGTCTGCATTTGTTCTTCTGCAGAATAAAAGTACAAGTATGCAGAATCAGGCTTTTCTTTAGTGAGATCTCTCAAGCCACAAGTATTTAAAAATATAATACTCAATGAGTTAAACTCAAAATCTTGCATTTAGCAAAATAAGAAAAAGTAAAACAAAACGGTCACAAGTTCAATAGATGAGAGAGAGAGAGAGAGAGAGAGACCCCCATCTCTTCTTTCTGTTTTTCTTTCTGTTAATACATATGTGCACTATTTGTAAGCAGTCCAGCTGCAATTGCTTTGGCAATACAAATGTATAAATTTTGTCATGCCAATAAAGCACTCTTAAACTGAAATTGAAATTGAGAGAGAGAGAGAGAGAGAGAGAGATGAGTAACTTGGATGAATTAACTAGAACAATGACAGGAACACACAATGAAATCACAACAGCATTTCAACTCTATTGATCCGCGTGACGTCACTAGCGTGGAACTTCTCGCAGCTCGTGTTTGATTCCGAACGGACGCTTTTGATTGGGTTTACGGAAGTTGCTCTTCATTATTTACTAAACCGGATTAGAATCGGTTTCCCTGCTCGGTGTCAGAGTGCAGAATGCGGCTGACATGTCGCCTGCTGTTCGCTGGCTGTGTTTTGTGGAGTTTCTCGGTCACGGCGGCGATAGAGCCGATCAGCACCAGCATCGCTGTCGGGATGGCCGCGGCTCTCACCGGGTTCCTGGCCCGTTATCAGAACGTGCTCTATTACTTTCAGGAGTGCTGCAGACCGGAGTGGATCTCATGCAACAAAACAGGTCCGCAAGAGCTTTATTTGTTGTTTCAGAACGCAAGTACGGATGTGTTTATGGTATCCACATTTTCCTTATATCCACATTTATCTTTATTACAATGAATTAATTCCATTTTGATGCCTGCATTTAAATGCCATAAAAATAGGCAGCCAAGACATGCATACTTTATTCATATTAATCAGACACTTGGATTGTATGGTGTGTGTGTGTATAATGCACCTGACACTTAATATCATAATAGCTACATATCATACATCATCTGATATTTGCATTGTACCTCATATCTAGTGCATTTATGCTATGCACATATAGGCATGTATTATTGCGCTAATTTTTGTGCACAGATAAGTCTGCAAGATGTCTGTTAAAGATCTGGAAAGCATCTGCTGTGCACAAATATCTGATAGACGTCTCTAAGATGTCAGTTTTACATCATAAACATCTTAAAGACAGCTTCTAAATGTCTATTTGACATCTGATAGGACATTTTGCAGATGAGCAGACGCTCTAAAACATACGTCTTGCAGATGTCAAATAGAAATCTCCGTGATGCTGCTTATTGACTTGTAGTTGTTCGCAAGTAATTTATATGAATTAATAATTTATATTATATATTATAATAGATGAGTCAGCCAAAAATTATAACTAATCTAATAATATGTAAACGTGTTTTGTAACGCATGGCAAGCACTTAATTTTCACAGTTTTGACCCAGTGACCAAAACGCAACAACGTGCGCCATTGAACCGAACGCTGCGCGCTTGCGTCATGCGTCGCACGCAAACGACGTCACTTTTCCCCAAGCAGGAAGTGGCGGGGCTGTTAGTTGGATCCTGCGTTGTTGTTGTTTTTCCTTTCATTTTCCAATTAAAAATATCGATGATCTATTTAGTACAATGAAAGTTCGGCCGCCTCGCGCATGGATAACCGTACTGCACTGCATCCTGATCTCAGGGCGGCTCGTGGAGGCCATAGAGCCCGTGTCCACCTCGCTGCTGCTGGGGACAGGAGCTGCAGTGCTGGGCAGGAAGCTCTATCACTATTTATACGAAACGTGTGATGAGAACTGGCTCAACTTTAAAGCAACAGGTGAACATTTGATCAGTGTTTGTATTATCTGTGCTTTGTGCATTATCTCACAATCCACATCTTGTACACATTTGTTTCTTTCGTTCGTTACGATTCTGTTGATATGTTTTTTTTATAATTGTTTTTTTAATGCAAATAATTATTTTGTAGTTATTTTTACAAATATTGCAGCCAAATGTATTAGTTTATTTTCAAATTCTAATTGTAAACAAAGAAGCTTGTCTTGTTATCTCAATGATTTGTTCATTCGGAGTAAATTTGATTTGATCAGATTGTGAATTGAATCAACATGCATCTAAAAACACAGCTATATGTGTGATGTTTATTCTTTCCTTTGTGAACCAGCGTTATTTGTGCATAATTGATATAATATTATAGTTTTTATTAATGTTTTGTGTAAGTATTATTTTATCTTTTCATTTTAAAGTTTTTTTTTTCCTCTTTTAAATATGCCTATATAGTTTTTATTCATTTCATTTTAGTTTCAGTTATTTTATTTTAGTTATCAAGTTCAACTAAATTAGAAATGATGCCTTTGCAATTATTTAATTTAATGTTTTTTTATAAAGTAATTTATTTCTTATTTTATTGTAAAATCTATAATTTTTAGATAAAAGAAAAGTGGTTTATTTACATTTTAATTTTCATAAAAATTTTTATTAAACTGTACTGATAATTGATTCTGTATTTTGTGTAAAATATGCTGTTATTATTATTATTATTATTAGACTGGACTACCTAATGTTTCAAGTAACTAGTTTCAGTTAACTATAACAACCCTGTTGTAAACAAGCAAACTTAATTTGTTGTCCAGTGCATAATGAATGAATTAAAGTGCAGATGTTAGGTATAAATCCTATGATTGCTGTAAATCTGTCCTCTCGTCCACAGGACTGAAGAATGACCTCAACACGAAGCTGTACGGGCAGCATGTCGCTGCTCAGGTCATCCTGAAAGCCGTCACGGGCTTCATGAACAATGAAAACCCAAAGAAACCGCTGGTTCTGTCCCTCCACGGCTGGACCGGGACCGGGAAGAACTTCGTGAGCCAAATTATAGCAGAAAATATTTACGAGAAAGGGATGACGAGCAACTTCGTTCACCTGTTTACAGCGACAGCACACTTTCCCCATGAGGCTCACATTGACACGTACAAGGTAATGAGTTTATATATGCAAATACATGGAAATGACATCATATATTTCAGTGTTTCTCAACCGGGGGTACGCGAACACCTAGTGGTCCGTCATGTAATTGCAGGGGGTCCGCTGACATTTTTTTTTATTATCATAAACTGACATGTTATTTTATTGTATATTGAGACTAATATAATTTTCAAAACCAGTCAATTTTAGGTTACAGTTCAAGTTACTGTAGGTGTGTTTTATATTTGCCGCCATTTTTAAACATTCGCGTGAACGGCTCATAACAGCTCACTGGAGAACAGAGCAACCACTATGAACTGGTAAGCCTGTCACGATAATTACTACGACTTATCACATGATATATGGACATGACCGTGATAAGTTTTAGTATATTGCCCATTGTGTTTAAATGGGTGTTTGTTTACATGAAAAGTTAATTTCACCAATATTTTAGCCGATCGCACTGCCTCTGTCATCTCGTCTGCTCTCTGTGTGTGAGGTAGAGGCGGGGCTCAGGCTGCTCCACACACACACACATATACACACAGTGTTGCCAACTTAGCGACTTTGTCGCTAGATTTAGCGACTTTTCAGACCCCCTTAGCGTTTTTTTTTCCAAAAAACAAACCTTCTTGGACAAACCTTATTTAGTCTCTGAGACCCGGGGGGTCTTGTTTTCCCAGCGCGCACACACCTCTCTCTGCGTCTGATCTGTTCAGCGAGCGGCAGAGAGGAGCAGTGCTTTCAGTTAAAATCGATATTCTGTCGCTTCTAACTCTATTTTACATGCAAATATAGCCGAAATCACAGCACAGCCATTGTCTTTATCTTATGTGTATTTGATTTCATTAGACGACGGCTTGATTACAAATCAGGATTTTAGTGCAGATTAACATCTTGTAAAGGAATTTTTCAATTTGATGGGGGCAACAGCTTCTAATGTATTAGAGAAGATAGTGCCCATGTTGCTAGTCATTTCGTCTAGTTCATGTGTACTTATGGGTACACAGAGCAGTTGAGATAAATCAGGCAGGTTATTTGTGAATCTGTCCATTGCCACCACCTGCTGGCGTAACAGTGACTGACAGCCCAGCGCTGATACTGAAACATCACTATATAGTCAGTGGCATAAAATGGTCTTAAAATGACAATAATATTGTTTCTCGCAATTATTTCTGGGGTGGTATATCGGCAAATAAAAAAAAATTGTTATCGAGACCAGCCTATGGACAGGTGGCTTAAAAAATTTGATGGGCCATCTACCAGTGGACCTGACACAACAGAAAAGCTAAGAGAAATGGACAACACGAAAACATACCAATATTAATGGGGGGTCCATGAGGATGGTTTGAGATATTATGGGGGTTCAGTACTCAAAAAAGGTTGAGAACCACTGATATATTTCACCGCACCAACACAAAGCATCCAGTGTGGTGATTAAATCAAATGTTTTATAGTCATATTTGTACTAAAAGCTTGTTTGTGTGTGTTTAGACCCAATTACAGGAGTGGATACGAGGGAATGTTTCCATCTGCCCGCGTTCAATGTTCATCTTTGATGAAATGGATAAAATGCATCCCGGGCTGATCGACAGTATTAAACCTTACCTGGACTTCTACGACAACCTGAACGGAGTGTCGTACAGACAGGCCATCTTCATCTTCCTCAGGTCGGTGGCATTGTATTTCTCTAAATCTGTAATTAATGCAAACGGTCACTAGTCATCAGTGCTTGATGGCTGCTGTCAGGCTGGGCGATACAGACATAAAAATAAAATAAAAAAATCAACCAAACTTCAGAAACTGATATAAAATGTTTTGATTTTGTTAATGTTTTCTGAGGAAAGGCAAACATAAATAGTGATGAAAGCCAAAATATTAAATGTCATTCACTGAGTAATTCACTATTTTGTAGAGGGGGGGTCAAAATGACAATTTTCACCTGAGATTCGGAGCCAAATTAAAATAATAAAAAAAATGACTTTAGAAAGATGGCAGCATTATGTTATTTTTACACAGAGATTGGTCGGTCTATTAGTAAAATCTGTTGACTTTAGCAGTCTTTGTTGCATTAAATGCCAGTGGTGACAGTTCAAAAAATAGTACTTTTTTCCAAAGTTTGTGTGCCTGTAACTCAAAAAGTATTAAAGATCTCATAATATCCCTTTAGATTTGGATTCTTAATAAGCTTTTCTTTCAGTATGTCCATTTTTAAGGCCCTGTATCGTTCATTTACAGAGATATTGGGATTTCACTGTGGCTCCAAGAGCAAATTGTGAAATTGTTCCCATTTCAGTGAGAAAAAAACAAATGTGGGTCACTTTGCATTCAGCTGATACTTCTTTTTCAAAGAGGAATGACTGAAGAACAAATCATGTTGAAACTAAAACGATGTCTTGTTTCCCTCTGTCAAAACAATTGCATACCTGTGTGAGAGCCAAAAAAATTTTTTTCTGAAGTTTGCATGCCTGTAAAGGAAGAAGTATTACAAATATCTTAATATCCTTTTAGATTCTGGTCCCTAAGAGATGTTTCTTTGGAATCTTCAATTTTAAGGCCCTATATAATTCAATCCCAGAGATATGGGGATGTCAATGCAGCTCCGTGTTCAATAGTTGAAAACCAAATATGGCATATATATTTATATATATCTCTGAACAGCCTCTGTAGCCTACGTGGTTTTGTTTTTACAGCAATGCCGGGGGTGAGAGCATCGTTCAGGTGGCTCTGGATTTCTGGAGGGATGGTAGAGAACGAGAGGAGATCCAGCTGAAGGATCTAGAGACGGCACTTTCACTGTCCGTCTTCAACAATAAAAACAGTACGTCTTGTTTCTCTTTCATATTTGCTAGTATATGGAGCAGAAAATATTCCTCAGGACAAGTGGATCAGTGCATTAAAAGTCATTTTGTTCATCAGTCTGACTGTAGTTTGCTTATGGTTTCCATTGTAATGAAGTTCTCTTTCTGCAGGTGGTTTCTGGCACACTAGTTTAATCGATAAGAACCTGGTGGATTTCTTCGTGCCGTTCCTTCCTCTGGAGTTCAAGCACATCATTCAGTGCGGTTTGGCTGAGATGGTCTCCAAGGGTCACGACCCAGATAAAGAAGTGGTTGAAACCATGGCCCGCGACCTGAACTACTTCCCTAAAGAGGAGCGTGTCTTCTCCATGCAGGGCTGCAAGGTCATTCCCGCCAGACTGGACTTCTATATTTGATCGAGAGGGGAAAAAAACAAAGACTCAAGACAGCAAACCTGTTATCTTCTGTGCGCTTTATTTCACAGAACAACTCCTGCAATCGAAGGAATTGCAGAATTGCTCCTCGGACTGAATGACAAGCTGTCTAAAGACTGCCAGGGAGGTTTTTACTCAATCACAGTTGTTTTATACACTAATGGAGACTGTTTTATTCATGTCAGCTGCTGAAGTCCTTGTCCTCAAATAGACCAATTTCAGTGTTTGCAAACAGTGATGACGTTTTTTGTGGGCGGAGCCTATCTGGTGGCAGAAAATGACAGTTTTAACATAGCAGTCTATTCAAGCCATGGAATAAAATAATACAAATGTAATTTTGAGTTTTATTTCAAAATGTTGACTTTTTTTCTTGCAATTCCGAGATTATATCTCACAATTCTGGTAAGAAAAATCAACTCGTCATTCTTTCTTTTTCGTTTATAATCCCACACTTCTGGCTTTTTTTCCTCAGAATTGACAAACTCGCAATTGTTGACTTGAATAAATGTATAAAGTCCGAACTAGGAGATATAAACTTGCATTAGCAAGAAAAAAAGGATCAGTGCATTAAAAGTCATTTTGTTCATCAGTCTGACTGTAGTTTGCTTATGGTTTCCATTGTAATGAAGTTCTCTTTCTGCAGGTGGTTTCTGGCACACTAGTTTAATCGATAAGAACCTGGTGGATTTCTTCGTGCCGTTCCTTCCTCTGGAGTTCAAGCACATCATTCAGTGCGGTTTGGCTGAGATGGTCTCCAAGGGTCGAGCCCCAGATAAAGAAGTGGTTGAAACCATGGCCCGCGACCTGAACTACTTCCCTAAAGAGGAGCGTGTCTTCTCCATGCAGGGCTGCAAGGTCATTCCCGCCAGACTGGACTTCTATATTTGATCGAGAGGGGAAAAAAAACAAAGACTCAAGACAGCAAACCTGTTATCTTCTGTGCGCTTTATTTCACAGAACAACTCCTGCAATCGAAGGAATTGCAGAATTGCTCCTCGGACTGAATGACAAGCTGTCTAAAGACTGCCAGGGAGGTTTTTACTCAATCACAGTTGTTTTATACACTAATGGAGACTGTTTTATTCATGTCAGCTGCTGAAGTCCTTGTTCTCAAGGGCGTTTCTGTTCAAGATGATGAAGTTGCAGAGGAAGCTTTTTATTAAATGACTTTGCACATTGTGGAGCTCCTAAAAACACTGGCTGTCAGCGATTTTATAATGATCTGTATTATCGTGAGGGGAAAATTTAATTTTCCTTTATCTTGAAATATCACAGATACATTTCTGCCTTTTTTTTTTTTTTTAATGTCATGGTTAGTTGCGGATGAAGAACTTGAATCTCATTTTGACCATTGAAACTTAAAAGATCATTTGTTTTTCCAATGCATCACTGTCAGGATTCATATTTGTGTTGTCGATATGTGCCACTGGTGCTGATTGAAGTAAATCAAAGTGCCTGTTTATCTTACAAGAGTTCAGGATACAGCCGATGAACCCTTTTTTTTAATTAATAATTATTCTGCATTATTTAATGATCTGGTTTGAACATATTTTCAGATCTGAGACATTTATGAAACTTTAATTTTGAGATGCGCCAAGATAAAATACTTGAAGGATACTATCTACATATTGATTTTGATAAAGCTTTATCACAATTTGAGTTGAATTACTGAAATAAATTAACTTTTCCACGACATTCTAATTTATTGAGATGCACCTGTATTTCAACTGTAGGGCTAATACAATATGTCCCCTATATGAATATTATATAGACCTATTGTTTAAATCTAATTTATGCTTTAAAAGTAGGGTAATCATAGCAGGTTTCATCCATAGTCTGTCCGTTTAAACGTCTGCGTTTAGCTTCAAATGGCATCTTTGACGACAGTGTTATATACAAATTATTTGCATCCCGATTCTGATGCACAACAATACATTTTTTCTCTTATTCCATGGATTTTACCTGTTTTCCCTCCACTTGTTCCCAGTGTTTTTCTGCCACCACTATGCGCGCGCAGCTCTACGTCTACTCCAAATTGGTTTGATCATTTTAACAATTTGTAATTATAAAATCAGAATTTGTTGGATTTATACATTCCTTTTAGTGCCATATTTATCCCATAAGGGTTTAAAAGTACACAATGTAACTTAGTCTGTAAATTATGACTTTTTATGGCATCTGAATGGCAGGTGGGAATGAAAGTGTCCCAGGATACCATGTAAATACAGCGATATTGCTGTGACACCATCACTGTATCGCAGTACGGTATGCAAAGAGAAACAATTGGAACATTTTTTTGACAATAAACAACACTTTATTTCTGATCCTCATGCTTTGGGTCCAGATGTGACGACGGAACTCCATCAACCGTCTTCAGATCATCTTTTCTTATGATTTCCAAGATGATTTCCGATGACAACAGTATTTCACATTAGTGCTGCACTCAGAGGCACAGTTCTATATCAAATGTTTCAGGTTTCCATTATACAAGCAAAACGGCATTAATGCAACCATCGTTTTCTGGGTTATTCGTCACCTGGGCGTATTTACCTGAAACACAAGATTATATCTCAGTCTTTCATTCTGCAAAACACGTTTTTGAGCACAAAAAGGGAAGAACCAATCAGACACTCACCCCAGATGACCTTCCCGCCCTGCGTGACCAATCCAAGCTCACTGACGTTGACCTCAATGACCGTTCCCTTGGTGATGACCCCTAGAGTGGTGTAGAGGGAGGAGGACGGGTTCTTCTTCACGCCCAGGATGGGCAAACAGAAGGTGGCCTTCAGTTCAGGATGAGTGACGTGTGCCTTCTTAAACCTCAGACCCTGTAGACAGTAAAATCACAACTCCATTTACATTTACATCAAAATAAAGTAACATTTTCTTAAAATAAATGTATATATTTTGTTAAAAACTTCACATATTTTTAAAAATACAATGTATCTTTATATTTTATTAAAATATCTATTTACTTTACAATTAGGTTCCATTTGTTAACATGAACTAACCATGAAAAATAATTCTAAAACATTTATTAAACTCGGTTCGTTAATTTCAACATTTACTATTAAATGTTGTGTCTGTTATTATTATTTGATGGACCTGAGCTAACAATGAACAACTGTATTTTTATTAATGGAGATTAAACCCCTTAACTGTCACCGTCCCACCTGTGGGACGCTTGGCGCTCTTTTTGTTGTTGTCCTTTGTCTCTATCAAATCTTTTAGTAATCATCATAAAGTATATATCATTTGAAAGCTTAGAAGCCCAAGATTCATCTTGTGAAAACTATTTTGAAATCGGACATTGCGTTACCATAGAAATGGTACTTTAAAATCTTTTGGCGGTCTCCTCCCCCTTAGTGGGCGGTGTCAAGTGTCATATTACAAAACGCATTACGGTCTTTTAGAATCAAACTTTTTATAATCTTGACAAAAAACATATCATTAGAAAGGTCTGAGTTATTTTGAGATAGAAGTAATATTGTCAGAGAAATCTAGACATTTGTGACAGAAAAATGCATTAAAAAAATGTAATGGCGTTTGAATGGCACCCGGTGGCTGTTTGTGGTATGACGCCCTAAATAAAATCTTACAGGAACCTCAATTTTTTTCATATTAACTTCAAATTTGGAAGTAATAAGCCTGGGTAATGCATTCTATATTCACTGCATTGTTTATTTATCTCATTATTTATTTTATAGTGACTTGACAAACGTATACCAGAACCACAATGAAAAAAAAACTAATAAAAAATAAATTAATAGAAAAATGAAGTTATATAATCAAAATAATAATCACAATAATTTTTTTTTTAAAATACTAAAAAGTAAACCTTCTTAAAATAAGCATTATTATTATTTTTAAATAATTTTAAAAAGTACAATTTTATACCAATTTTAGAGTAAAACCTGTTATGTAAAATATTTATAATAAATAAAATAAAATTAATATAGTACATTTTATTTATAGTACATTTAAACTTCTATAACGTTTTGATACTTCAATTTTTTGAAAAAATTCCACTTTTGCAATAATCTGCTGATTTTCTTCTTTAAAAAGATACCAACCTTAGGTCTGTATTCCAAAGTGTTAATAAATTACAACAATTTAAGTTTGAATAGTGCACTTTCATGCCTATTTTAAAAAATGGGGGGTGACAGTTAAGGGGTTAATAAATACCGTAACAAATGTATTGCTCACTGTTAGTTAATTTTAATGCTAAAGGTAACTAATGGGATCTTATTGTGAAGTGTTAACAAATATTTACATATTTGATGCCTGTAGTGTGTAATAAGCCTGGGTAATGCATTCTATATTCACTGCATTTTTTATTTATTTATTTATTTATTTTATAGTGACTTGACAAACGTATACCAGAACCACAATGAAAAAAAAACTAATAAAAAATAAATTAATAGAAATGAACTTTTTGGTCTTTCTGTTGTCACAACTCACTCAAGGTATTATTTTTATCTATAAAGCCCAGCTTTAGAGTACGTGTGTGATATTTTACCATAGGTCTGATGAAGCGCTCATATTTGGGCGGTTTGCGTGTGAATCCGTCTCCTACGAAACAGACTTTGGTCACCATCCTCTTCCAGGCCTTTTTCTGTCTCTTTCCTGTGCGGATGACCTTCAGAACCTCGGTTTCGCCCTGGGCTCGGACCTTCGGTAGAGGAACCTCCCACTTTCCCTAAAGAGGCACATAAATCAAAAGGCAACATGACATTGGTATATGCAAACAGATTGACTTCTGCAATGTGTCACACTACTAAATGAGACAGGATAATTAATGAGGAAAAAACATAAAGGAAGGATGGGACTTGATAACTGACTGGATTGGTCAAATCTGATGTTTAAACATCAAAATATAAATAAAATCTTCTAGCTTTCATATATTCGCTCCAAATCTGTTTTTTTTTTTGCTCGGCTACAACAGAACCAACATTTAGTCTACTGGTAAAAGATTAAAATAATAAAGATTTGTTAACGAAAGAAGTCTCTTCTGCTCAGCAAGGCTGCATTTATTTGATCAAAAACACAGTAAAAACTGTAATATTGTAAAATATTATTACAATTTCCAATAAGTGTTTTCTATGTGAATATATGTTAAAATGCAATTTATTGCTGTGATCAAAGCTGAATTTTCAGCATCATTACTCCAGTCTTCAGTGTCCCGTGAT